AAACAAATATACGCGATTTAAATCCGGAAAAATAGTTTCATTTCCTATGTGTAACAATCGCGAAAACCTAAGAACTCGATATTACACAAATTTGTCAAACACGGGAATCGAAAATACGTAACGTCATCTTAAATGTCAACCATGTCTTCTTCTTCTTCTTTTAAATGTTATGGCTCCATCGAAATAATCAATGATTTTGCCAATGTCAAGTAAAAATAATTATGTACGGTAGTTTAATATTATTGTAAAAATTATACAAAAAAATGGCGATTGCGCCAATGTCCTGTGAGAATCGTCAACCATGTCCATTTTGCAGTACATGAGGTACATGATACGGTTGTCAAAGAGGAGTAGGTACATTACATCAAATGTCTAAAAAAATGATTTTCCAAGTGTTTTATTGAATTATGCGCATGTATTGTGTAATAAAATGGACAAAAATATTGACAGTGAGAACAATTAAGTATTAATAAAAATTCGTCGCTGCAGAATTACGGGATGTGGTATTTGAGATAGCGAGGATCGACCGAATGTAACATTGTACAGCCACGTGTTAATTTTCTGTCTATAAATCACGCAAAAGCCCAAATATCTCATGTGATTAAACATATTTAAGTAGTTTATTCATAAATCTTGCCAAATTTTGCTTTGGTTTCCTCAGATTGCCTGTTGGTTTGTATATTTTGATGATTGTCGTTAACGATTATTTTGAGATAGTGTTGTCTTGGAAGCGTACATATTATCGATATTCTGTTATTAAAATAATTCACTACGAGGTTTTTATTATTATGATTTTTACTATTTCAAATTTACCTACAAATCAAAAAAGAGAAAAGAATGGTTTCAAATCATACCGTCGTATAATAGTGCCGAATATAAACATTGAATCAAAGACCATCTTCATTTATTCGCTTCATTTTGAAGAGTCAAATTTTAACATAACTTTGAATGTAACTAGATTACATGATAATGCAATTCCGTCATTAGGTATATTGGTAAATAATTTTATATTTAATTTAGATTAAACAAGCCTCATTTACTAGGCATTCCCAGTTCCTGAACACACTCGTTTCCGATTTTTTCCCACTGACAAATCTAACTACTAAAAATTCTTATTTTATAAAGCCAGCAATACAAAGACCATGTTAATTTAATTAATATATACGAAACATGTTTATACTAACACTGTCTCTTGTTACATCTCCTGTTATATCATGTTTTAAGCAAATAAACGTATGATAATAATATTATTATTGATAATATTACTACTTTCATTTATTTCCAAAATTAAATGGAAGTGTTAAAGATTCACTTAAATTACTCACTGGTATTAATTCTATACCAATGCATAAATACAAAAAAGCTTACACTATTTGTAATCTGTTTAAAAATTTCTATATGAAAAAATGAACATTGAGAGTGGAAATGTATAGGATTTGTATTTCAACGTTTTCTCCTTTTTATATATCTTAAATTACAAATATTATTTTTTTCTGCGCAAATTCACTTTTTGTACTATTTGAGTATTTGTAAACGCAAAACAATCAATTCAAAATTTCATGTGACATTCCCGGATATTCCCCTATAACCTAAAATATTCCCAAATGGAATATTGATCTACTTAAATTAAATGTTTGCATGTCGATAACGACTTATCGATAGATTATGGTACGACACTAAAGAAATCCGCTATTTGTTCGTTCAATTTTTGTTTAGGTATTCAAGTTCATTCCGTAGTTAGGGCTGCTCCTTCCTTTTATTTTTTTCCATCCTCTAAGCCGCAATCCCATTTAATTTTAATTAAACGTCGATGATTGTTCGACATTGTTACTCGTTTATTTAATGTTTATTTACGGTAACCTTGAATAAACCTATATTGTGTATATTATTTTGGAAGCAAAAGAAACCAGAAATAATATTCCTTGAATGTACCCACACATTGAAACTATTTTGGAATAGAAATATTATGATAAACGATTTGCTGAACGTCCTTTATTAGCTTTTAACACGTTTCTGCGCGACTTCCAGAACTCTCGGGTAATGAATAAAAAAATAGCAACATTAGTTTCATAGCGGCTCGACTCGGTTGGCAATCTGGCAATTCGGCCTGGCATTGTCAGTTCGTTCATTAGTTCATGACGTTCATGATTTGGCGTTTGTCCTGTCACGTACTTCATCATAGAATTTACGAAAATGTTTAGTGAAATATATAAATGGTTTACGATCTTGTGTATTTACATATTCGTAATTCCAATCCTTGCAGAATGGAATACAAGGGATTACATTCGGCGGGAGCATTCTCTCACGAAACCGTACCAAGGTTGGTGACCTATTGACTTTGATTAGTATATGTTGGATTTTCTCGAATATTACGTGTAATTTTTTCATTTCAGGGAGTGGAATGTCTGTGCCTTACTGGGACTTCCTAGGTAGTACAATAGTTACTTCGAATTATGTACGGTTGACACCAGATTCACAATCGAAGTCCGGAGCACTATGGAACACAGTTGTAAGTACAATTTTTATTACCGGAACTTAAATAACTATAACGACAAGCAATAAAGATGTTGTAATACTCATCGTGTGGCGATAGCCCTGTATGTATCCATAGAATTTACTGTTCATGCACAACACATAACCGCAAAGGTTATTGTGATGCCAATCTTTGCCAATAGAGACTTAATAACATTGGTCTGCATTTATTTTGTTCAGGACAATTTGTTAGTTATGTGTAGGGACACAGTATAGAATCAAAAGTATCAACACTGTGCTCATGAGTAGCATCGCCTAAAAAGTATTCTCTTAAAAGTACGGAAAGAAAAGTGATTTTGATTGACCTGCAGATTTTCCCTACGTAAAGACAGAATAAAACACATAAATATGTCTTTTTTTATTGATTTATGATTTTTAATTGAAACAAATAATAAAAGAATTTGATTAATTAAATCAATTGATCAATTCAATCAGCCGTCATTTCACATAATTTGTGTTACTTAAATTTCCAATATCCCTCTCCTTTGCACAATCACTTAAAAACAATTGGTGACAGTCTGTTTCTCGTTTTTGATACTGTATTGCTTGCTTTTGAGAACAAACATTCTGAAGAAAAGACAAACTTCTTTAAAAGAGGCAAATGGTGGCATACAATAATTATACAGCCAAGTAATTTTTGATAAAGGTTGCCATTTAAAAAAAAATTAGCATCATGAAAATGATACAATAACTGTCAATAAGTACTAATACCCAAAAAGTATCTAGTATAATGGTATCAATATCGGAGGGATAAGTACGCGATACCAAAAAGTATCAATACTTTTTCCGAGTTCCTAGTTATGACACTGTTACCAATGTCCAAGAATTGAACAAAAGAGACTTGGACAAAAAATTGTTTATTAAATACTTTGGATTTGACACTTTAATTATACTTATAATAATAGCCTTTATTGCTAATACTATTCAAATGTTACAATATAATTCATTATTAGAAAATATAAAATATCTTAAACCTAGATTAATACTAAAAATAATAGACAAATTTCCAATTTAAATTAATACTTAAGATTAATAATTCATTATAAATAAATCTGTGTCCAACATTTTCCTATAATTAATTGAATTTAAGTTAACTAACTTTAAATTGGTCTGACCTCTTCTACAAATCTCCCATTATTGCCCGAAAGTTGTAGTACCTATCTTTGAAGATTTATCTATATGACCTACGATTTCATGTGTACCTATATTCAATATTACGACTTTGACTGCAGCTAGAAATCATAAGTGTGCATAAGGGATGAAACTATAACTAGATTTTAAATATCAAATTAATTTGCAATTTTTTCAGTAAATGTGACAGCTTACTGCATAGCATGCAGTAAAATAAATTTATCTAAAAATTCTTTTGTGTGGAAATAAAAATACTTTCCTGCAAAGGAATGTAAATGATAAATCGGTGACCTGTTGAACAATACCATAACTATAGCTATAAACATAAATATCTCTGAAGTTTTGTCAACAATTACCCACAATAGGCATAGCACTCATTACATACATACAATTGACGTGTTTATAAGTTACATATCTATTTGTGTGAAAGTTTTACTGTTAAAAACTATTTGCCATATTATTATTGCAATATCTGTTTTTTTTCTTGATTTTCATTTTTTTTTATTTGCTTTTTTTTATAATACCAAGTGATGGGACAGATAAGTCGTGCGCCTGGTGGTAAGCGACACGCCTACCCATACCAGTGGCAGTGCCATTCAGAGCTTTAATTAGCAAAGATCTTAGGTGCATTGCCACTGCGCCCGTCACCCTGAGACGTAAGTTGACAAGTCCTATGTGCCTGTATTTTCACCAGCATCCTTACCCTTCTAAAACGGAACGCAGTAATGCTGACATTACTGCTTAGTGGTAGAAATAGGTAAGGTGGCAGTATTTCCCTGGATAAACTCTTTCACAAGGAGATCTACTCTTGTTTCATATATTTTTTGTGAAAATACTCCACTAGTTATAGATAAAACAAACATAAAGAAAAATTCCTTAGATCTGACTGGACCAGCATCTGTTGCCTCAATGAGGCTGTTTACTTATTATAATATTCTCGTATTTCACACCTAGGCACATTTTTCTATTATTATTATTCACTCTAATCACTTATTACATTTTGATTATCAACAAATTTATTGAAACTATGATTATTACATAGTATGACATTGAAATGAACATATTTGTGTTAATTGACCTAGTTTAGTTTTATGATTGACAACGTTATTTAGTGCATTTTTGGTAAATAAACTATATTGCCCAATGTTTCGTTGAGCACAGCGCCTCTACCTATAATTTTTTTCTCTGACAACTTCTATACAACCTGAAATGAATTTGTGTTGAAATGAAGTAATCAACTTCTACCGATAAAAGAATCACGTTGGTTGTTAATTAACACACATCTGTAGGATTGAAATGAGCGAAAGAGTTATTTATTATTTTCGCTGCTTCGTAATCGGGAGGTTGATTTGCTAACATCGAAAATAATTTTATCCAGTATTATAAACTGAACTGCGGCCGTAGCATGGCAGAATATGTGTGATAAACCTCCCCGTGACAATATTTAATTCAGTTGATAAATCTAAGTTTGCGTATTTGGTAATGAACTATTGTTATACATTTTGAAGAACTAGGACAATGATATAAAATTGCGTATATATCTATCTTTGTCGTTTAATCATCAAAAAATTGAAACAAAAAATGACTTCATTTCGTTTGTCGCGCTCAATTTTTACGTTGATAAAATTACTGTGCAAATGTTTAAAAATCAGCGGTAACCTTGCAGCCATGTTTGGCACCAATGATATTATACTTAGCACTGTGTTAATCTTTTGCGGTCATTGGTCAAATTTTTAAATGTAGCTGTATCACTCGAATTTGACAGCTAAATGTGGATATAATAGCTTTATCGAGGCGGCATACTACGGAGGTTTGGGGTCTAGTCCCGTCCTCCGTCCGACAACTGTCCGAAACATTTACTGTCAAATAAGTTACTACTTGACCAAATTAAAAAACGCATGACGCGATTGAAGCTTCATAGTTGCATGTCAACAACTTTTTCTTTGGTCGCGTAGTACTTGTTTTACAGTAATTGTTTCGGATATATATGTCGGATAGAGAACGGGATGAAGCCCCCAGAATTCCGGATACCACCAATAAGCTTTACATGTATGCTTAATTTTTTTTTTATTATTGTAGTAGACAGGATCTTTTTGGCATTTTAACTTGTTTTTGCGTTATTATAAGAGCGACTGTTACCCCATGTGAGAACTGTTCTACCCTCCTTATCATAAAACGTTATCGACATTTTTAGCTAATTTCCGTTATTAACATGTATGTGATCAGCGAAACAACATCTACAACCCCATCTAATCATTAATATAAAAAGTCTTGTAATTACCGGCAGCGAATGCCCATGTATCAAGGTGGAACCTGAAAAGCAGCATAATAGTGCTGAGGGTCCATCCCTTTCAGAAGTGCTTTTTAAACTTTTATTAAACTAATTTCTTGTGTACTATTTATGAGTAAATAAATATGTCTTATCCATAATATTAAATTGTACAAACTACAAAATGGTCAACGCGCGTTGAAGCTACAGGGTCCAAATTCTCCGAAACTTCGTGAATCAACACAAAGATAAGGGAATTTAGACTTAGATAATTTATAAGGAAACAATTTAGTTTCCGTGAAGTAAATCAGTCCTAACTTCTGAATTCCCATTCCCCACTATTCTGCGGTAAAGGAAAATGAGCTTCCACCAAGGCCATGGTCCGCCACGCTTGCCCAATGTGGGTTGGGGACTTCACATGATTTACTTAGACGTGTAGGTTGCATCACAATGTTTTCCTTGACCGAAAATTGGTAAGTTTGAAATTAAATTTCGCTCATAAATTCAAAAAAGTCACCCAAAGGCTTTGTTCGAGAGGCGGTACGTCATACAAACTGATTATGTATATAAGATTCGCTCTGGACCTTTTGGAGGGAAAAGTGTCGTTTTTATTTTGACTTTGTATTATTTTGTGAAATCTAGTTTAAAGTGGAATAGGATAGTGCTATTGTGCCTTAATCGAAGATTAAAACGCAAAATTATACGAATTTCGAACTAAAATACCCATATCGGCCCGTTTTAAGGAATCCCGAGTCAATCCAAGCACGCCGCCTCAATTTGCCTATCCTCTTTGTGGCGGCCATATTTACACAAACATAATTAAACTTCATGTCCAAAAAAGAATAATGTACTAAGACTTGGCTGTATGGTGTAAAACCTTTGCCTTTTCCTTTATGGAAAGAAAAAAAAAGATTATGTTAATATATAATTCAATCGTAGTAGTAAAGTAGTACTAAAACGTTGACTCGACATGCAACTGTTAAAAACAGCTAGTTTTATACATATAAATTATATCATATGGGATTATGCACATTTAGAAACAATGTTAAACTTCGAAATAGTAAGTATGACATTAATTCTAGTATTAAAATTATTACATTTTATTGTACATCATAAAATTATATTGTATTACAGCTTTTTTTTTTTAGTTTATTGCATGATCTTGGATACAAACTCCTTCAGTCAATAACTTTATAGCTAATAATTATAGCAACAACAAAAAACAGAGATCTAGAAGAAATTCAAATAAGAGGTTATTTACACAAATATAATTGCTAACTGCCTCCGTGGCCGAACGGTCACCATGTCGGACTGCCACGCAGAGGTCCCAGGTTCGATTCCCGGGCCGGGAGAAATATTTGCTTGGCCTACATTTATTTCTCTCGTGAGTTTGGGAGTAATTTGTAGTTGTCTATGTGTGTGTCCATAGCATCCGCGACACAGGGTTTCCCTAGTGCGGGGCTATGTCGAGCGTGTGCGTTATTATTATTAGTCTTGAATCAAGTATAAAATTTTTAAATTTTATGATACCAACGGGACGAACAAGTTGAGCGCCTGATGGTAAGCGACACGCCTGT